CGGTACTCAGAATGCAAATTATTTTAAAAAAGAAAATAAAATCAACTCATGGCACACCAGCAAACAAATATGTTACAAAAAAAGCGGATACGCAGGTTAGTACTACCTACAGTAGGTTAGTACTGTAGCTTCTGCCATCTAGTGGAACAGCATCTAATTGTTCTGTACGTCAGTACACGTCGCCGGCATAGATAAAAGAACAAATATCATTTTTTTGAGCAATTCAGTGAAAATGGGTAATTTCCCCAGCAGGCGACATGACCTCTCATGGGACACTAACATGCCACGGCACAGTGGTCGGGAATCAGTATATACTATACATACAATTTACCAGACCATGTACCATATCATAAGCCACACCATATACAGTATGACTTGCTACTGTGGGTACCATATCTTATATAATTTATTATTGTATATGCCACATCATTTACCGTACGGTATACATTTTATTGCCGGATGAATATACAGCATTTGCTACTGAATGTACCATACAATATACCATTGACTGCTGGATGGCATATCCTACTTTGTATATCATATGTCATTTACCGCTGCACAGGTACCATACCAAGCACAATTTACTCCAGTCGACCATAACAGCCCATAACTTTTGGTACTGTACTTGCAATATTTACAATATACAATATTTTATTGCAAAATATATACACCATGTATGTTTATCAGAAATCATATGCACCACTCATAACTGGATAATGTTTGATCGCTATAAATTACCGGTAATACTGACGCTGTGTCGTGTCATATTTCGCTTTATGCATACTATGTACCTTGATCTATGAGCCCCCCAATTTACAATTTTTCCAAGGAATGAGCAAGCTTCAGTCACGGAATTAATTAAACTCGTAAATCATGGTACCACTGTACCATACAGTATGTAATTTACTTGATGTTATTGGATATACGCCATGAGCAAACTATTTACTAATCTATCATTTATATATTTGTCCCACCCTTGTTTCTATTTGATTAAATTTTATTTGTAAACAAATATACATTTGAGTGTGTAGTTTTTCCTAAAAATATGATTGGAGGAGGTGACTGAAATGTCCCTGCTGGGGCCATGATTTGCAAAATAGCTAATACATAGCCTACACGTCACATTCTCAGAGAACACTCTATTAGGCTAATTGGGCCTCACTATCTTACTGAGGAGGGACACTAAAATGGCACAAACTCTATTTAAAAAGCCAGGTAGTTGACACATAAAGTATCTCCACATACAATCCAAGACGGTCATCTTCTCCCCCCCACATAAACGCACGCACGCCTGCATATACCATATTGATTGTAGGCCATTTTCCTTGTGGAGGTGAAGCCCGAGGTGCCTCCTGTCCTCCCTTGTATACGCCTCAGCACCAAGGAGGCCCCAACGGAGCCTGCTGATACATTAACAGGATTATTTATCAACAAAAGCATAGCCACACAGCATAAGTTGCCATTGCTATGACCTAATTGGCTCACACTGGCTGAAAGCGGCCCGCATTGGGCTGCCCGAATGGTAGCCATGACATTGAGCAGAGAACGCTTCGGTGGGGGTGTGGTCTGTCTTTGTGGGTGGTACCGGTGGCACTTAAATTGAAGAACACACCCGCTCCTTTCGTCGTTTGCTTAGTGGGATGAAGCCACTCAACCCCGCCCATGCCCCCGTGTTCCCCCTGGGGAGATCGAAGCTGCTGCGCCATCAGAAGCTCATCCCGGCTTCTCTGGCCCAACTCTAATCTCATCATATCCCCCCCACCCCTGTAGCGCCACCACACCACCAGGATTAGGAATATTAAACTATTCTGTTGGATTTCAGCCTGGTGACCTTCTCCCTCTTTCTCCAGACAACCTATTAATCCTTTTTCTTACTTTTCTCTCACTGACTATTCGGTCGCGATGCTCGCTGTCCTGTCAGTAATTCATAAAAGGAATAAAAGTCAGGCTTTTTGTGCCAAAGTGAGGTCATTTCAATGGCAAAAGTTGTGTCTTGTGATCTTTCCTCTCATTATTAAGGCCGCTTATGTGATGTTTTTTTTTTTCCTGTGTTAAAATAAAGGCAAATGAGCTTTTTTCTTTATTGGTATTTCACGGAGTGCGCGTGCAGCCTCAACATGAATTCATGAAGATGGCCGCTGCCTTTATATGAAAACCTGAGGGGATTTCGGCATCACATCTTGACAGCAATTAGTGGCACAATCTGTTTGCTGCTTGCTGATATGAACCGCGCTCTGGACAGATCTCATAGTGAAGTGTAGCCATGTTGTGTACGTCTTAATTTTATTCATAAACAAGACACGGCTCACATAAAATGAGTTTAAAAAAAATAAAGGATGACTTTTTTTCACCTAACTGTGGCCTTTTGGATACCAATATGGACTTTATTTTACATCATGGCTTCCTATCTGGGGTGTGAGAGAGATGTTTACAGTAGGAAGAGGTATAATAGTTGCTTCACTTATTATTACAAATTTTGTCAATCGTGTGGAATCAGTTA